GAGCCGTTGGTTAGTCTAGAGAAGACATTTCCGGCTGTTTCACGATTTCTCCTCTGAACAGAAGGAGAGACGGGAGGCGTTGTATCACTACTTAAGTCCCTGTGTTTCGTAAATATTGTATATTTAAGTAACAATTTAAAGGCGCAAGAAATATAGCGTTAGATTCAAATCATATTAATTGGTATTTTGGTTAATAATAATAAAATTAATATAAGTTAACGCAACTATTGTTTTAAAAATGTGAGTAAAAAATCAAATCCAAAACCAAAGCAAAAATATAAATCCAAAACCAAAGTAAAAAACAATTGAGTGGTGGAAGGGATGGGAGGGTAAGGGAGGAATGGGTGAGTGAAAGACACACAGACAGTAAGCTTTAGCGAGTGATGTCTTACGTTGAGAGCTGTCTCGAGACATAAGTGAGCGGTTGATTAGAAGAAGAGTTTGAGAGAGAATTTCCTGAGGAGGAGAGCGTTGCGGTTCTCATACGGCGAGTGAGAGTCGGGTCATTAAGAATAGGCAATCGTTCGTATGTTTTACGTTTGAAAGCAGGAGAATAAAAGAGTTCACATTTGGGGACAAAGTATAGACAATCCCTGAATTTGCACGAAATAAATAACAATATTTTTATATTTTATGCCATTTTTGCAACAATTATTATCATATAGACGTGTGTGGCGTGTATTTTGCAGACATTTTCACAATTAAAACACATATTTCACATAAATTAAAACTAAAGACGATTAAAAATGACATAATCTGTGATTTCATGCAATAAGTTGTGGAAAAATGATCACTTTTATTGAAATGTATAAAAAATAGTGTATTTGACATGCGATATTTAAAATATTGTTTTAAAAAAGTTATATAAAAACTAAATACAGTAAATGTTTACTGAAATCGTATAAAACATTTCTATAAATATAATAAATACAAGTTTTTGTGAAAAATCTTTCATTAAAAAAATGGATAAAACAAATTGTCTTACTTTAGAGACGGAGCGCTGGGAACGCGTTGAAGATCCGACTCTTCGGTGATTATATTTGGCGCGATTAAGCTCTGAGTCATGACATCATTATTGCAAT